TCCACAGGTCTCTCTAGCAAGCCTCACTGCACCTCTCCCCCTGCTGTTTGTGTTTGGAATTTTGTCATTTTTAGCTGAGACCAAATTAAACCTTGGTGCATAAAGTGAGCTTAAAACTTGCCACTGTTTAATAAGTTAGCTCTCATAGAATGTGACCCCATCTGCAGGGTCTCATTTACCCTTCTTTTTCTCATTGTCATTTGTTGGTGTTAATAGGGCTGTCTTACAGGATCATGTTGGCATTTACTATCATGTCTTTCATAAACCATGTTTGTTTGGGGTAGAAGAATCACCATATAATTTGTTGTCCAAACTGGGACTATTAAGAGAGAAAGGGGATGCTATTAATTACACCAGATCAACAGGCATAAACCAGACCTGTCCCTGGCCAATGGGGATATATGGTCTTTCTAGTTGTGGGTAACCTGATCTAGGTGGTTTGTAATTGTGCATACTGACTGCATATATGTTTGTGTATGTCTAAATGTGGGCTCCCTGTTAAGTGGGGCTCATGGATACGAGGCCCGCGTGTGGCTTGCTAGTCTGTTATGTTAACATGCTTTTCTAAAATTGCTTCACGTGTTAATTCATTTACTCCTGCATTCATTGACTGTTTTTGTTCTTTTCCATTCACTTTGTACTCATTTTTTTTCATTAAATTTTGCATTTATTTTGAGTTTTTGTGGTGTCTTTTTTGGGCAGTAGCTTTTCTGATTTAACAAGTTTCCTAAGCCCATTAATCTGCTACAACTGTGGTAAAATACAGCTTGTCTGTTCTTTGAATTTTGTGGAGGTTGATCTACTTCCGCAGGAATTGTTTTAATAGGAAACCCTGCTACAGGCATCTGTGAAAGCTCTTGGATAGGTGGGGGATGGAGGGAAGAGTCACAGGAAAGTCACAGAAAGGTAAAGGTGCAGTCTGTGGTCCATGAATCTTTATTGGACAACTGGGGGCAGGACATGAGAAAAGGGGCTCCTGCCCTCAAGGAGCATTCCTCCTTAGCAAAAAGGCTTCCCATAGGACTGCTAATATTTGAGTGTCAGAACTGCTCGGAACCACATTACATGCATTAACTCCTCTAATCCTCATCCTAATCCTATGATTAGGGACCATTCATCCCCATTTTATAGCTGAAACACAGAGGTTTAAGTAATTACCCAAGGTTACACGGCAAGTAACTGGAGAAGTTGAGATTTGAACGCTGGTAATCTGGACCCTTAATTCCTGAGCCTACAGCTGCTCCTTGGCATCTCAATGGAATGATGGAAGAGTAGTGGAAGTGTGGCCAGGTTAAAGTACACAGCCTGATGATGTGGGCTGGTGGACCTGAGACTTTTTAGAGGTAGATAGCCCTAGAGGACAGGCAAAAGTTTGGCTGAGGAAGAGCAGACTGGTGGTTGAAAGGTGGTAAAAAGTACGTGGGTTTCTTTTTAAAGGAGCTTTCTCCATTGAGCACCAGGTAGATTTGGGAAGACCAAAATGAGAAAATGGGGATCCCTGCAGGAAGAGTGGTATGAACACATCCCTAATGCAGGCATAGCTCAGCTCTACTTGTGGGAAGGCAGGCAGCAAGGAGGCAAAGTATTCACCAACTTTTGAAGGACAGAGACTTTCCAGGAAGCCAGGGGGAGGAGGGTCTCCTAGGTGGTGGAAACATCATCAAATGACTTGGCTCCTTCATTTCAGGGACGTACTGTTTGGACAAGTTTAAGACAGGTCTATGATGCTCCCTCCCTGCCCTGTTCCTCCCTGAGCCCACCTACCTTTCTTTCTGCCATAGCATCTGCCTCTGAGCTTTTTCCATCTCAATTTTCTTTACCAATCCCTGCCTTTCTATAGGTGGGGTCAAAAGGAAAATGGATTGTATCCATACTTCTCCCTGAGAAGTATTTCCCAATCTCTGAGTTGAGGTGGGATAGGAGTTCCTAATGTCAGAAAAGAATATTAGAGGGAAATAGGATGGGATCTGGGGCCCCAAGGCAAGCTTGAAAAGCACATAACACTTTTTAAAATCCACAAGTGGGACTTTGGCAATACAAAAGTGAGCTTCCCTATAGAAGAGTTTTATCATTTACAGAAAGCCAGAGCAGAAGGTTGTCTCTTGTCCCAGTCCTGGGACTCACAGGTCTACCCTCTGCTTTCTCCAAGAGGTTGAGTTGGATCAGCTTTTGGAATCTAGCTCACATCCAGAGCCACCTGGTTAAGCAGCAGATGTCTCCCAGCAGTTCCCCAAAGCCCAGGACACCCAAGCTGGTATGGGCCCTCGGGATGTCCTCCTGCCTTATGCACTGTGGTCCTACTTACACTGGAAGGAAGGAGGCAGAGGGCACTCACGGCCACCACTGGAAGCTGTGAGCAGCATGGCCTCAGCATCTCCATCTGTAAAATGGGTTCTGGAGTAGAGGAGAGTTCTTGATATGACCTAGGAGATAGTGTTCCAAATATATCTGACTCTCGCAAGCCTAAATGCGTGGTAGCTCAAAATAAGAGTCATACAGGATTGGAAGCAATTAAAGTTTAATTTTAACAAAAGCTCCAGCAAGCAAAAGTGTGTCAAGAAAAAATAGAGATGTATACTAACTCTATAATATAGACAATTATGGTATATCTAGCCCTTGACCACTTTGCACCTAGTAAATCATTCCCTTCCCACACCATGGCTTAGCACATTTACACACACACACACACACACACACAAAGCCACCATAGTTCAGAGTGAAAGACTTCATAAACCACCTCTGAATGTGTAGCTCAGTCATTCATGTCCCCAACACAACTTACACAGCCCAGCTGGCATCTGTGTCAGCTGCACTCCCCTGCTCAGAGAATGGCTCTGTAGTAGCACAGCTTGAAAGAAGCAGCTGGCTCCTCCTCCTGGCAGCACTGTGGTTGGAGCAGGCTTGGCCTCAGAACCTGCTCATCCCAACAAAACACTCAGAGCTGTGCCTTCCATCACAGGTGTTAGCCTATAATACCCATTCATTAGCACAAAATCCCTCTAGTTAAACTAATAACTGAAAACACTTTGCTTAAGAGTAACAAAGGAAAGATATGCTTAAAGCTTGCTCAAGTTACATTAAACAAAGCATACTTTATAATCCAGTCCTTGTAAAAAGAAGACATAAGTCATGGCCATGGTCGGGTAAATGTGTCTGCAGAGACTGTCCCATGTTAGGAGTTGCAGGCAGGGTAGTTGGGACTGGAAGCACCACATATATGTTTGGGATAAGCCTGGGAAGTTGGAAGGACTTGGCCAGCTCTGGCAGGTAGAGCAGCAAGAACTGGTCAGAACTAGCCCCAACCCTTCAGCCCTGAGCCAGGCCTGCCTCTTGGTCTCATATTCCAGCGCTCTCAGGGGCCCATGCCAACCCTTGCTGTAGAAGGAAGGAAAAACAAGCTGCCATTTGAACATTCATTCATACTCCCTGGCTTCAGGCCCAGAGGAGAAAAAGGGAAGGCAGGGTCATGGTCTATCAGACCACCCTGATCTCTACTGACCCCAGCCTGCCTTTCCCCTCCCCACTTTATTTTTTTTCCAAGGGCTTAGTTGGGAACTTTTTCTCAGTTGCTCTTCCAGAGCCACCTTCCCTTTTTACAGGATTAATAACAAGCCAAAGAACTCATGGTAGTCCAAGCAAGGAGGTTTCACATTAGGCTCTGAAGGCCCCAGGGTGGAGGCAGAGCGGCTGGTTGGCAGGTGACATAAAGTTGTCTGTGCAGGATGATGACTGAAAACTTCTCAGTTGCTGCATTACAAGTTCCTTGCAGCAACTGTACTGCATATCACCAACCTGTATTAGAATAGAGTGGCCATCTTCAAGCAGAACCATCATACATTCTAAGAAATTGGCAATTGAGTGCCAAAAGGTTAGCATGAAGCAAGTTCAGGAAGGTCCAATCACCCAACTAAGGACCACTAATCCTACCATCTCAGGGACATCCATTTCCAACCTCAGTAAAGTTGTCATTAGTTTAACCATGCATTCCATCCTAACCTATCTGTTCTGAGGGATTCCGACACCCCCCCTCCTCCTCGTGCCCCGACAATGCTTGCCTTATGGTACCCTGTACCTGGTACCACACACTCGTACAAAGGAGAGGTGAAGGAGTTTAAAATGTATGCTCCCCAGTATTAAGCTCAGGGTTGCTTCCTCCTAAGCCAGACATCCCCCTGACCCCCCAGTCCTCTTGACTACAAGGGCTCCCATTGAGATAAAGATTCTCGCACTCTCAGAGACAACCCCCATTGGTCCAGTGAAGAGAACACATGTCCCATCTCAAGTGCATAGGGCATGGCCAAGTGTGGAAAGCCTAGCCTTTGGGCAGACTCTTTCCAGGGTTATGGCCAGAACATTTTCCAGAGGCCACAAGGGGAAAGGGTACCCCTTTGGGGTCAGAGTGCATCAGCTAAAGGGGCAAAACACAGAGCCTGGTCTGGGGCAAAGTTGATGTCTACCTGTGCTTTCTTTAGCAGATCAGATATAGGAGCACACCAACCGGGCGTGAGCCTCTCCAGCTCTAAGGTGATGATGACCAAGGCCAGTGTGGAGCCCTTGAACTGCAGCAGCTGGTGGCCCGCCATACAGTGCTGCAGCTGCCTGGTCAGGGATGCGACGTGGAGGGAAGGATTCCTCTGAGGCAGCAGCTCCAACACATGGGGCCAGCTCAGGACCACCAGGGCATGGAACTGGAGACCATGGTTTTTAATGTTAGAACAGAAAACCCCATACTTTTCATATATCAATGACCAGAAGTGCAAACAATTTGAATTTCCATCAGGGAACATCAAATGTTGCCCAACCCTTTTCATTCCTATCCATGGCTCCATAAGGGGCTTGAGGCTTAATGCCCACTCTGTGGCCAAGCTGAGCTTCCACCCCAGAGACCAAAAAAAAAAAAAAAAAGAGTCTGCTTTGTGACATCATCGTTATGAGTGGAAAGTACCTAGATGACAATGTTTCCATTCTGAAAATTAGAAACATACTATTCAAGACCAAGGTAGCAGAAAAGTTACTTGTATCTGCTTATCATAAGAAACTCTGCAACTTGGCAACAGTGGCCAGTTTTCATGAAACAGCCCTTAGTAATTTAATCTTCATGCTTCATAACAAACCAAAACCCCATGAGATTTCCACATTGCATAATTTGCCTTACTAACAGAATCATATCCTTAAGGATGACCATCATTCCCCCAACTAAAACAAATACAAACTAATGTATGATATTTTTTTAAGTGCCAGATCAATATGGTCTAAAGCCTCAATAAGGATTGTGTGTAGGTAAATAAAGACAGCTAAGTGAATGTGTGTAAAGTGTAGCAAAAGCAGACAGATATTTATGTACAGTATTCATAGAATGGAAAGTTAAATATTTTTGCAGTGTGTATTTAAAAGAGAAACTCACCATAATAGTGCCGTCTAAAAATCTTTGTAAAGTTAATTTAATGTCCTTTAGAAGTGGGAGTCTGGTGGAACTGTGTTGGATTTAAGATACCTTTTCACTCTCCCGTACGTCGTGAGCCTTGTGGGTCACCTCACTGTGGTGCATGTGCAAGGGCGTGTGCACGCCTGTGCTTTGCCGTCCTATGTTGTAAACAGCTGTTCCAAAGGCACAAATGAGTTTAGGGTAGACTCTGTAAACGCCTCCTTACTCACTATAGTCAAGAAGTCCAGCGGCGTCCCAATATAGAGGTCCCAGTGCAGTCTGTCCAGAATAGCCAGCTCCATCCTTAGCAGCTCATTCGGGGAATAGTCAGAGCCATAGTGCTTTATGAAGTCTTTTACTTGTGGAATAAACTGTAAAAAGAAAATAAAGAGGCCAAAGCCCTACATCATGTCATAGTAGCTTTTGTTTTCTTATCCATGGGGACTGGGCATTCATGACCTTAGTGGAGTTGTCTTCCTGTGGCCTGCCACAGAAAATGCTTCTGAAAGAAATACTAAACCAGATCTTGGCTATCTGTCAAATCCTCAGGTAGTTATGTAGTGAACATTACATGGTCCCCCTCTGAAACCAGGTCTTGATCCCCCAACTGCATACTAGCTCATACCCAACGGTGCTTTGGAGGCTGGGGCTGTGCCATCTCCCCTGTTCAGCTGCAAGAACTCACCCAAAGCTTTCCAGGAGCCATGGGTTCTGGTTCTGCCTATCCCTATTCCTGATCCCTACCATGGGTACTGGGCATACAGAAAAAACTATGCTTTTGAGCTTCCTAGTCTGTACCAGACAGACACATTGATAAAACCTCCTATGGGTTTTTCAGCATCACAACTGCAAACTTCCTTCAACTTTGATTGAAGGTGGTTCAGTTCTGGAAAATCTATGGCTTTTCCCACAGAGGGACTAATGAGACTTGTCTATGAGTAAACATTCAAGTACTAAGTATATTAAAGGCTTGATCCTATGTTTTTAGATAGACAGAAGTATTACTATAACATCCAGAAAAAGGGTCACTTGACTTTTAAAAGCTACTTGGGCATTAATTCTATTCTAATAAACAGGAGTTTAAAACATTTTAATTGAAGGTTTGGAACTGGACACACAACTTCTTCCCTGCCTCATCAGACCCAGAGATCAGCTAAGGGTGACCCCTGTGGCAATGGCAGTGATTTCACCATCCCCAAAATGAGAAAAGTTGGAGGGAGGTAGGAAAGTTTGGAAAGGGTATTAGGAGATGATCTCCTCCTGAACATATGGCACAGTGAAATTCAGCCATTCAGGCATGCCTGAAGCACTCATGGGCCCTTGTACTTTACCCCCAGCACATGGCCCTCCTGTCCCTCTCAGGGGACCCAGAGTTCCCAAAGACCAGCTTCATTGACACAGCCAAGTCCTCAAGTCTCAGGCAGCTTTCTTAGACATAATTGCTTGGGGTGGATGTTAAGTCACTTGGTTTGGGAGGCCTTTTTCCTTGCTCAACAGCAGATGCCCCTGTTGAGAGAGAGGTAGCATCTGGCATCAACCAGTGAGGCCATATGTATCTGTCAAGAGTTCAGGTCTCTAGGTTTGGTGGGCCAGGGCAGTTCAGCTGTTCTACTTGTTCATTTGTGGGGTCTCAAAGTCTGACAAGCCAATGGAAGGGACAGCAGAGATGCTGGCAAGTTGGTGACTTTTCCAGAACATCCACCATACGTGAAGGGCACAGACCTATCATGAAACTGGAGTCCTCTAATGTTACACCCCTATACCTGAAGTGCAGCCCAGTGTGGACTTCCAAGAATGCATACCTCCTGTTCTTCATTAACTTTTGCAGCAAGCCTCAAGGAAGTAATTGTGGCGCAATGTAGGTATTTCTCTTTTACCTGCGGTATGGAACAAACACATTTGAGCAGAATATGAATGCCAGAAACAAACTGAAAAGCATCTGTGTTTGTTTTTAATATACTTTTTTGAGACGGAGTCTCACTCTGTTGCTCAGACTGGAGTGCAGTGGCATGATCTTGGCTCACTGCAAACTCCACCTCCTGATTTTGAGTGATTCTCCTGCCACAGCCTCCTGAGTAGCTAGGACTACAGGCACGGGCCACTACGCCTGGCTAATTTTTGTATTTTTAGTAGAGACAGGGTTTCACCATATTGGCCAGGCTGGTCTCGAACTCCTGACTTCAGGTGATCCCCCCCCCCACCCCACCCTTTGACCTCCCAAAGTGCTGGGATTACAGGCATGAGCCATTGCGCCCAGCTATTTAATAAGCTTTTTTCCATTTTTAAAAGGCTCCATTTCTCCACAAGACAGAATGTTAGTGCCATTTTTAGATGTGACCAATGAGGATGCTCCTGATTTCAGAACTGCAGATGACTGGGCAGTATTCCTTCATTTCGGGACTGACTGGAGGTGGGAAATACGGCACCTTCTCAGGGAACTCAGTCTCATCCTAGCCTCAAGCTGCCCTCGACAGGTCGAGACAAGCACATCCTACCTCATTACACAGGAAGCCCTTTCCCAGCTACTTCCTCTCACCTCCCCGAGCCCTGACCCTGATGACCACATGACCCTGAGACAGCCAGTGTAGGATGTGGAGAGGTTCCAAAACCAGCTCTACCACTCGAAGCAAGTTAGTTTATACACCTTGGTTTGAGCCTCTGGAACCCCTCACCTCTCAAGCAGGAATGGGGAACAAAGGTTAGTTTCTTCTTTCACCATCTGCCACCGTCCCTCAGAGGCCTCCCTACCTTCACTGAAATCAGGAGGCGGCTGAAGATGGTGAGGGCCAGGTTAAAAGTGGATTGGGAGAAGTAAAAGATGTTCTGAAGCCGCAGGAGCCACAGCACGACTCCCTCGAAGGCATTGCAGATTTCATCCCGCTAGGAAGAAGAGCAGGTGGGGCGAGGAAGGTCGTTAGCGGCCACTCCTGGTCCCCCAGCAGCAGGAGCCTCCTGCTTAAGGTGCCGGGGCGGGGGGGGCAGTTAGAAGTCCCTTCCCCTGCAGGCCTGCTGGGAGTAAGCGCCCCGCTGGCGCAGCGGCTCACCCATCACCCCCACCCCGTGCGCCCGCTTTTCGTCGTAGGCCGAGTTCCTTGATTCAAACAGGCCCTCTTCCGAAGGCCCTGCTATCAAGACGCCCTCTTAGAGAGAAGATGGTGGGTCCAGCCTCGTGCCTCTCGTGAGGGGCCACACCTGGGGAAGCGCCTGGCCTCCAGGTGCAGAACATCGGAGCGCTGGTGCAGGTGGAGGCCACATCCGCCTGCTGTGTGCGCGCAAGGAGGGCCACGCTGCGGGGACGGGTACCTGGGGTTTGCCGCCCCGCCACAGGCGCGCCTCGCGGTCCTGGGCCAGCTGCAAGTGGCAGAGCAGCCGGCGCTCGTCGAGGACGCCTTCCAGGTTGCGCGGCTTGGGGGACTGTGGAGCGGGCCGCGGAGCTTGCTCTGGGGCGGCTGCGGGGACTGGGTCTGTGGTTCTCCCGGCCGGGGCCGTATTACGCCGGGGCCGCAGGCGGACTGTCGCGGACGCAGCGTGGAGGGAAGCCGCTCCGGGCTGGCTGGTCCCAGGGCACCTGCTCCGGGTGCTCGGGGGCAGAGGGGCCTCCCCCGGAGACCGCGGGAGAGGAACGCCCAGGGCTGCTTCCTCCAGACGGGCGCCTGGACGCCCGCCTGGGCTCTGGACTGCGCTGACTTCTGAGCTCGACGGTTGCGGCGGGAACCGAGCGCCCGAGGCCATGTCGTGAGCGGGATCCTAAGTCTGAGTCGCTGCTTAACCCGGCATTTTATAACCCAGCGCCCAGAACACTGCAGTCTGGGGCGCCGCCGGGGGAGGCGGGGAGGCGGGCTCGGCGAGCCCCACCCACAACGCTCCCGGTGGAGCTACCCCTCGCGCACCCGGCCGCGCTTCCTGGGCACTCGCCCCGCAGGTGCGCGGCGCGCTCCCAGGACACGGCAGGACTGGGCGCGCACAGGCGGGTGGCGGACCCCCACCCTTCCCTCCATCCCCGCTGCTGCCTACCGCACGCCTCTTCCCCCCTGCCGGCTGTGCTCCCTGCGCAGAGCCCCCAGCCGCGGGTGGGGCGGCTGGAGACTGCGCTCGCCTTAGGCCGGGACTCCCGGCCGCAGACCCTGGGTCTTACCTCATATTACACACCTGGGGACATAAGACCAGGCAAAGGAACAGCGAGAGCGCCCTCCTCAGACAGGCTTGAAATGGCATTCCAGACGCGCTGTGTGACCTCATGCGTGTGTCGTGACCTCTCAGAGCCTTGGCTACCTCTTCTCCAAAAAAAAAAGTGATAATACTTCCCTCACAAGGTGATTCATTCATTCATATATATATATATAATATTTGTTTATGTATCTATACATACATATATAGCTATAAACGTATAATAAGGAAAATCATACAAATCATATATGTATATATACACACACATAAATTTTAGGGGTGGGTCTTGCTCTGTTGCCCAGGCTGGAGTGCCGTGGCTATTCTCAGGTGTCATCACAGCACACTACAACCTCAAACTCCTGGGCTCAAGCTACCCTCAACTTCAGCCTCCCAAGTAGCTGAGACAGGTGCACACCACCATGCCTGGGTCCTAAGTTATATTTTGTTTAAAAAATTCATTACATTAAATGCATATTAAAAATATATGGGAATACCAGAAGGACAAGAACGAGAGGAACAGAAGAAATATGTGGAACAATAACGACTGAGAATGAATATTCCCAAATTAATGCCAAACACCAAACCACAATCTAGGAAGCTCTGAGAACATTAAGAAAGATAAATGCCAAGAACTACACCTAGACATTCCTATTTAAACTGTAGAAAATCAAAAGAAACTATCAACAGAGTCAGCAGACAACCTACAGAATGGGAGAAAAGTATTAGCAAATTACGCATTTGACAAAGGTCATAATATCCAGAATCTGTAAGGAACTTAATTAAACAAGCAAAAAACAACCCCATCAAAAAACAGGCAAAAAGATATGAACAGACTTCTCAAAGGAAGATATACAAGCGGTCAACAAACATGAAAAAATGCTCCACATCACTAATAATCAGAGTAATGCATCTCACACCAATCAGAATGGCTACTATTAAAAAGTTAAAAAACAACAGATGCTGGTGAGGCTGCAGAGAAGAAAAGGGAATGCTCATACACTGCTGGTGGTAATGCAAATTAATTCAGTCACTGTGGAAAGCAGTTTGGAGATTTCTCAAACAACTTAAAACAGTACTATTCAACCCAGCAGTCCCTTTACTGGGTATATACCCAAAAGAAAAATAAATTGTTCTACCATAAAGACACATATATTTGCATGTTCATCACAGTACTTGTCACAGTAGCAAAGACACGGAGTCAACCTAGGTGCCCTTCAGTGGTGGACTGGATAAAGAAAATGTGGTACATATACAACATGGAATACTATGTAGCCATCAAAAAGAATGAAATCATGTCCTTTGCAGCAAACATGGATGTAGTTGGAAGCTATTATCCCAAGCAAATTAACACAGGAACAGAAAATCATATACTACATGTTCTTACTTATAAGTGAGCATTGAGTACACATGAATGTAAAGATGGCAATAGTAGACACTGGAGGCTACCAGAGCAGGGAGGGAGGGAGGGGACAAGGGTTGAATAACTATGGGGTACCGTGCTCAGTACCTGGGTAACAGGATCATTCATACCTCAAGTCTCAGCATCACGCAATATGCCAGAATCTAAAATAAAATTTGAAAAAAACCTGCAGAAAATCAAGATTTAAAAAAAAATTTCAAAAGAAGCTGGCCTGTAATCTCAGCACTTTAGGAGGCTGAGGTGGGAGGATCACTTGAGGTCAGGAGTTCAAGACCAGCCTGGCCAACATGGTGAAACCCCGTCTCTACTAAAAGTACAAAATTAGCCAGGTGTGGCATAGTCCCAGCTATTTAGGAGGCTGAGGCACAAGAATCACTTGAATCCAAGAGGTGGAGATTGCAGTAAACTGAGTTCATGCCACTGCACTCCAGCCTGGGTGACAGAGGGAGACTCCATCTCAAAAAAAAGAAAAGGAAGGAAAGAAAGAAAGAGCGAGCAAAGCCAGGAGCAGGAGCAGGGTAGGGTGAGGTAGGAATAAGATAAGGTGGGATAAGGATAAGAATCACATTGGACTTGTCTTCGGAAATCATACAAGCAAGAAGAGTGGAGTGAAGTATTTAAAGTTTTGAGAGAAAACTCCACCAGCCTAGAATTCTGTATTCAACACAATTATCCTTCAGAAGTGAAAGAGAAATAGTTTCACAAACAAAACTGAAGGAATTTCTCACCAGTAGACCTGCTTTGCAAGAAATGTTAAAAGAAATTTTTCAGAGAGAAGGAAAATGATGTAGGTCATAAATTTCGAGCTACATGAAGAACGAATGTTAAGGAATAATTGAAAGTAAAATAAAACTTTTGTTTTTCTTATTCCTAATTGGTCTAATAATCATTTATTCAAAATCAATAATGTATTTGATGATTATAGGTTATGGATAAGTTAAATGAATGACAACAATGATACCAGGCATGGGAGGGAAGAATTAAGAATACTTTGTTGTAAGGTACCTGTGCTGCCTTGAAAGCAGTATAATGTTACTTGAAAGTGGACTTGAATTAGTTATAAATGTATATTGCAAACTGTAGGACAACCAGCAAAAAAAGTTTTAAAAAAAGTATGATTTGTATGCACTAAGAAAGGAGAGAAAACGGGATCATATAAAATGCTAGTAACACCAATGGTAGTTTGAATCCACAGGAAACAAGGAAGAACAAGAAATAGTCAATAAGAAGATTAATATTACAAACTCTATAAATACAAACTTGGCTCTATTTTCTTCTCTCGGCTACTTAGGAGATTTAAAATACTTAAAATTTTATAACAAAGTTATAACAAAGTATTGTTTGGTTTATAACATATGTAAGTATAATCTGTATAATAATAGCACAAAAAGAGGAGGAGGGAACAGAAGTAAATGGGAGTTACCTTTTTTTTTCTTTTCTTTTCTTTTTTTTTTGAGATGGAGTTTCACTCTTGTTGCCCAGGCTGGAGTGCAATGGCGCGATCTCGGCTCACCGCAACCTCCGCCTCCCAGGTTCAAGCGATTCTCCTGCCTCAGTATCCCTAGTAGCTGGGATTACAGGCATGTGCCACCACGCCCAGCTAATTTTGTATTTTTTAAGAGAGACGGGGTTTCTCCACGTTGGTCAGGCTGGTCTCGAACTCCTGACCTCAGGTGATCCGCCCGCCTTGGCCTCCTAAAGTGCTGGGATTACAGGTGTGAGCCACTGGGCCTGGCCAGGAGTTACATTTATATATGTCACTGGAATTCAATTATTATAAATCAGAAGTATTATAGATTCTGATAAGATCTATATCGGAAGCCTTAGAGGTTTTTTTTTTTTGAGACGGAGTCTCGCTGTGTCTCCCAGGCTGGAGTGCAGTCATTGCAACCTCTGCCTCCCGGGTTCAAGCAATTCTCCTGCCTCAGCCTCCCAAGTAGCTGGGACTACAGGTTCCCGTCACCATGTCCAGCTAATTTTTGTATTTTTGATAGGGACAGGGTTTCACCATATTGGCCAAGCTGGTCTCAAACTCCTGACTTTGTGATACGCCTGCCTTGGCCTCCCAAAGTGTTGGGATTACAGGTGTGATCCACCGTGCCCAGCCTTTTTTGTTTGTTTGTTTATTTGAGACAAAGTCTTGCTCTGTTGCCCAGGCTGGAGTTCTATGGCGCGATCTTGGATCACTGCAATCTCTGCCTCCTGGGTTCAAGCGATTCTCCTGCTGCAGCCTCCTGAGTAGCTGGGATTACAGGTGTACGCCACTGTGTCCAGCTAATTTTTCTATTATTCATAGAAACGGGGTTTTCCCATGTTGGTCAGGCTGGTCTCGAACTCCTGACCTCAAGTGATTCGCCTGCGTCAGCCTCCCAAAGTGCTGGGATTACAGGCATGAGCCACTGGGCCCACCAAGGAAATAACTTTAAAAAATAGTAAACCAGGCCGGGTGCGGTGGCTCAAG